CTCTCTTCTTAACCCTAGCTTCAACAACTAGCTTCATGGTATGATTCTTCAGTTTTATCTTCTGTAGTGACGCAGCTCTGCACATCCATTCTCCATTCCTCAGGCATGATCTCTCCCTCCAATCTTCATACCCTCCATCTGGACCAGCTGCCTCTTCCACTCCTCTGCAAGTCCTCTGCACTTCCTGATTCACTGTCCTCCATCCGTCGTCCTTTTTCTCTCATTTCCCTTAATTATCAGCTCCTCAAAGTACTCTTTCTCAACATACTCTCTTCACTTTTTATAAGAGTTCAATGTCTATCCTTAACCACCCTAATATGCTGCACATCCTTTGCAGTTTGAGCTCTGCCTAGACGATCTTTACAAGCCTTTTTCTCATTTCTGTTCAGCCCCACATACAGCTCACCATAAGCCTTTGCCTTAAGAGTAAAATATAGTATAAAGTGAGGAGTACCTTGTAATTGAAAAAGCTGCACATGTACAGTATACTGTTTCTTAATCAGAGCCACTCATTACCAGAGTTCTCCGATAAAAACAAAACAAAAAAAACAATTTTATAACTCAGTTTTTTCCTACTGTGGAAGGCTGTCGGTCTACTGTTTACCTCAGCTGTCAATGTTGGGTGAGAAACTTTATTCACTCTGGAAAAGGACTCTAAAATATGTGAAAGGAGTGCAATGTGAATCAGAGAAGCTCATTTTTGACCATGACAGCCATACTGAGTTGAATTGTTGCTGGGGATATTCTGAGCTGTTGGTAAGTGCTACTGTTTTAGCTACTGTTAGCCTCTGTTAGCTGTTGTTAGCTTGTGTTACCTGCTGTTTGCCAGCATTAGTGAAACCTTTGAAGTGGGTCTAAAATTGCTGGACTCCACCACTAATTAAATAAAATTTCATATGACGTGAGTATGTAATCAAACTGTTTATCAGAGGAAAGGTGAGATTTTTAGGACACTCAAGCCTAATATTAACTGACATAATGTTAGCCTATAGCCAGCTGGTGTTTTTATATAGCAAACTTTCAGCTGTCTGGAGACAGTAGGATTACATGTCTAATCTACTGAGAATAAGTACTTGCAATAATATCTGTAATTAATTAGCATTTGTGTTAGAGCCCTGACTTCAGTTCAGTAGATGAGATTTTAGGTGAGAAGGAAAAAGATCAAAAGACCCCGCTGTTAATGATAAACCATAGTTATTGTGCTTAATATCTTGAGTTTAAAGTTTGAGGCACAACTTACTACATATGTGGCCGGTTTTTAGCCACAAATATAAAATGCCATTAGTCAGAAGCGAGGAGTCATTCCTGGCCGCTGAATTCAAATATGGTGGGGCAGCTTCCACAAACCACAAACCCACTGCTATGTATTTTTAATAGATTTATTATAAGTTTATGAGAATGCATCGGTTTGTTGGAAGATGTAATAACACAGTGAAATGTGAAACCTAGCTGACATGTATACCAGTCAACTAGGTTTCATTTGACCAGATTCCATTTGGCATTGTAGTTCTGTTACAAAGTTACACGGGACATTTACGTAGGATTTTGGGCATAAATATTTCTTTGAGCGCAGCAAAAGCAGCCGGTTAACCGCAGCTTGGATTTGCGTTTCCATTCAAGCACAGTATTGACTTACTCACAGTACAGTACAATCACTATTTATATATTTACATTAAAAAAAAGGAAACACATATGATTCTAAATGCTGAAAAATAGAAGCACATGTGTTCGATTTTTCAGTGGGATGGCTGAAAAAAGCACCTCAAACACTTCCTGTAGATATACCAAGCTATTATACCCACATTTGAGCAAATTATTGTGCGTTTCTAGACTGATGGCAGTTTTTTTACATGCTGCCTTTCAGGTCAAGGGCTGTGCAGAGTAACTTGCCATCAAACTGACCTTTGATTGGTTCATTTCAGAGAGAGCCAGGACAGCTGCTTTCCTTTGCTGTCAATTGTGAGTAAATCTTGCCTGCTTTCATTTGATGCTTAAACACACCGACAACACATGAGTAACTATTGCTTATTTCTGGCTTTCTGTGTGAGCGTTATTTGATCTGTATATTTGAGATGTATCCACGGTTAAAACACAGTTTTCTGTTTAAAAATGGCCACTGTACAGAGAAAAAAGAGAAGTATTTGTGATTGGTCCAACTCACTGGCCAGAGGAGTACTCGGTCCTGATAAAAGATCATAATGAGTGATAAGAGTCAGCTTTTGTGTCATTAGTTAAATCTTTCTATATAAAATAGCTGTACAGCAATTTTGATCCTGAAGAAAAATATTAAACCCAACCAAAATAAACTGTAACAAATGCACCATTTGAATCAGTATGTAATATTGCTGGGAGTGCAAAGCTCTCTCAGTGGTCAGCAAGACAAGACAAGTGAAAAGTCTCCTAAAAACGTCAGCCCATACCCCTTTTGCACAACACGCAGTTTGCAAAAGTCACAACAATGTGCTTATCTCAATGTGTGGCTTTAAGATGCCTGTCATTGTGAGGCGCAGTCATAATTTTCTGCTACTCAGGGTCTGTGTTAGATTCTGTGTCTGTGCACCGCTCTGCACAAGATTATACACCACTCTATCTGACATGCAAGAAAATAGGCTGATCTTGAGTTACACCTCATTGTGTGAATGCCTCACAGATATTCAGCTTTTTATGCCATTTTTTGGCCCATTTTGCTAACAGGGACCACATTATCAGTGTGATCACTAGTTTTGCTTGCCAGACTGAGCCATGAGAGGGGCAGCCGTTCTCAGACCAGGAGGCCCGGGTTTGAATCCCGCTTATGGCAACATTTTTTTCAGTTAACACTTCCACTGTTTAAACTCTTTTCAGCACAAATTCCAGCTTTTAAGCTGTTTTTAGCACAAACTTCAGCTTCTTTTCCTCTTTTCAGCAGAAAGTCTGCTGATTCACCTCTTTTCAGTACAATTTTCAGCTTTTTCACCTCTTCTTAGCACAATTTTCATCCTCTTCTGCTCTTATCGGCACAGTTTTCAGCATTTTCACCTCTTTTTTTCCCCTTCTGCACAGTGCACATTTTTTCTCTCTCATCACATCTATGTTTGAGACCAGAACTGGTTTGGCGCAGTGGGATGCGCAGCTGCCGTGAGCTCTGGTGGCAAGGGTTCGAGTACATGTCACAGATGCTGCACATCTTCCCTGCTTACATGTAATCTGCTTTCTTGACACTCTTCAGTGTAGTCTTTCAAATAAAGCAGTTTTCAGCAGAGTCCAGCTTCCACACAGTGTTTTCAACAGATAGCTCTCCTTCTTCTGCTGTTTTCAGATTCCACTACACGGCATTCACACTGCATTTTCTCAGAAAATGCAACTTTGTCTAGTTTGTTTAAAATTTGCTTTCAAGAGGTCTTTTTTGCCTCATATGCTGTATTTCCATTTATGATTGTGGATTTTTCATTAAATTGCAGCACCTGTTTCCAGTAAAATACAGAAGAAGCAACGACGGGCACAAGATTTTTTACACAGTACTATGTCATAAACTACCTATATGGAAATGACGTGTTTAGCAGGCTTCAATTTCCAAAGCCTGAAAAGGACGTATATGCTTGTTTCCTCTCACACCGAATTCAACTATTGCCCCCTCAAATCAACTTTTCCTTCTTCAAATTTAAAATGATTTTTTCAAGTCCTAAAATAGTAGATATAAAAAAAAAATTAAACAAACAATGAAACTAACTTGCTGTCTTGACACAGACACCTCTTTTGCCCACAAAACCAACAATAGCAGTTCCCCAAATGTCTGCAAGTGAGTGTACATTTCTAGTAGGTGCTACAGATTCTTGTCACAGAGATTAGACAACATTAGTACCAAACGCAGATGGCAAAATTTCATTTTTACTGTCACACGAGAGGGGGAAACAAACAAAAAGCAGACCCTTTTCACAACAACTGGGACAAGACATTGTTGGGGAAGGCAGAGAGACACGCCACAATGTCACACGAGGAGAATACTAGGATCGGACAATCTTTATTTATTTACAAGGAAACGAAAATATTAAAGCAACAACATTTTAATGAGCAAGTACATGAAAAAAAGGGAACATTGTTGTATATAAAAGTCACAGAAGAGCAAAAGCTCATCTCCATGATTCCCTGCACAAAGGCTTAGGGATACAGCTTTCCACAACCTCAGGATTTATTTATTTATTAGATCTTGCATCTACTTGGGTATCAGCTGCTGTAAAGGGAAACTAACCATACTCCTTGTTTCTTAACTTAGCTCCCATTTCCATCAAGTGGTGGGCTAAAGTACTGCAGGGCATCTGTTGTGGGAGCTCTTTTTAAACTAGAAAACTTTGTTAGCTGTGCACACACACATTTCAAAATACTGGAGAACTGTGTGAGTCAGACTGGTGTGTATTGCATCAGATTTTCCCTCTAAACAAACGGACTTCATTTCATATTTTAAGTTTCGTGTTAACCGTTAAGTCAACGTCTGAGTCATGTACACATAAAGATTTCACTATTTCAATATTTACAGCGTCTGTGGATGTTGCTACGGTAACGTGTGAGGAACGGTGTCACGAACAGGACTTCCTTTTTGTTCTCTTAACACATCTTAAGAAAGAGGAAGTGGCAAACACCGTTATACACTCACACCATTTTTAATCCACCAAACACATGCTGTTTATCTGAGTTTCACACACGCGGAAACCATTTTCTTTAACACATCATAGCAGGAAAGGCGCTGGTGTGAAAAATTCAAAGTGAATTATTGGTACAATATCAGAAAACTGTTGTTGAAGTTATGAGTAAAATCTGGGTTTCCTATTGTGACAAGTCAAATATTGTGAAAAAGATCCAGACAGGTTTGTTCTTACCTTTCTGCTCCTCCTGTGCTTCGGGTTTAACTTCATCTGCGTCTCCTGGCTTTGCCTCCAGTTCTTCTGGCTCTTTCGCAGTAGTTTCTGTACTTTCAAAGGTTTTCAGACCTGAAAAATATTCAGACAGGAAAAATATTTATTTATTCAGATGGAGGAACCTGGTTCAAAAAACAAAACAATGTTATATTTAAGGCGATACGCTGTCTCCAGCCAATAACTGACCATTTTGAGGTGCGGTATCAACAGGCTCCACGGTGCTGAGAGGGATGTTGACTTCATCTTGTCTGGAGGAAAAATCAACCGAGTAGCGCTGAGGAGATCCAGAACACAGGGGAACGCATTAGCACCTTTATTTAAATGTTTTTCTTTACATGCAACACTGATCCCTGGCTTAAACTGAGCAACAAAAGCTGCAGTTATATGACCTTGATACCACACATTTTGAAAAAATCTTTGGACCAAACAAGGGTTTCAGTTCCCCGCACACTCCCAGTCTTTATGAATAAATCGCTGTCTGTAGGTACATGTTTAGCAAACAGTATGAAACCCAGTCAAACCATTCTTTGTTGGGTATTGAATGTAGAGCTTCTTTACTTACTCTTCTTCTTTTCTGTGTCACGTAACAGGCAAGTAAAAATGCCACAACCACGAGGATGAGAATGACTAGAATGATGATACCTGAAGGAGGAAATACAATTCATGTTTAGAGTGAAGCACATCTGCCAACACGGTGGCTATGCACTGTGACCCACAGACCTCCAAGTAAAGACCTACACTCACAGGACACTTCATTAGTTACACTATGCAATCAGTGATGCCTTAATTCTCCGAGGCATAGATTCAACAGGGTGCTGAGAACATTCCTCAGAAGTTTCTGGTCCATTCTGACATTTATACAAAGCAGGACGGATCTATGCTTTTACAGCATATTGCTGACCCTACCACCAGAACGCCACAGAACAGGTAGCATTTTTCAAATTCAGTTTTAGAGTTTTGTTGCAAACTGTAACTTCACTTCCTTATTCTTATACAACAGGAGTGGCACCTGATGGGGCCTCCCGCTGCCGTAGCCCTTCTGCTTCAAGGTTCAATGTGTTGTGCATTTAGAGACGCTCTTCTGAACACCTTGTGTCGAGTACAAACTGATAGTTTGAGTTGCTTTTCCCTGCAGTCAATCTATTATCCTCTGGCGCCTGGCATCAACAAGACATTTCTCCCAGAGTACTGCCGCTCACTAGATATTTTCTGTGGGAAAATCCCACCAGATCAGCAGTTGTCCCAAATACTCAGTCCTGCCCCAACAATCACGTGACATTTAAAGTTACTTAAATAAAACGTTCTTCCCATTCTGACGCTCTCTTGTTCATGCACATGCCTAAAGTTGAGTTGCTGTCATGTGATTGGCTGAGCAGATATTTGCATCGATGAGCAGAAGAACAGGTGGACTTAATGAAGTGGCATGTGACTGTAGATTTACACACTAGATCTGACAGAAAAGTTCTAGCCTCTGTGAGGCACAGACATGCTGACATATGTTTAACTCACCAGTTTTGTCAGAGCCAGCTGTCTTTGGACTGGACGTGGAACCTGTGAGATATACAAGACGCTTGAATGAAATAAAAAAACCTGCCAACGAGTTGTCATAAAACGTTAGTCTATCCACAATCCAATCGAAAAACACCCACAGCTGACGTTAAGGATATTCATATTCATTTGCACTTTTGTTTCAGGCAATTTCAAGCAACTCTTTCCTCTAGCTCAGGGAAACTCATTTAAGATCAAGGGCCACAAAGATGTCCAGTGAACCAAATTCGAGTCTTTGCTCGGCCAATTCTGGCCTCTGGACCTCATGTTTGCCTCCATCACTCTTGTTTTATTCCTGCAGAAAATATCTGGATGTTTAGCTGCAAAACGTGCCTCGATGCAAGCACGCCAGGGTTTATCTGAGGTTTTCCACTAAAAACGGCTGCATGACGAGGCTGTGAGCTAATCCCGTCGAAATGAGGAGAACTGCAAAATCGTGCGAACCTTTTCAATTGGATTGTTGCAACAACTGTTTCATCTGTTTGATCTGCAGATGAAGGGTTTATTACAATCAACACAGTTGTTGGCATGCAGAGAGCTATGAATAATCATGCTGATTTTGGTAATGTAAGAAATCAGTCCCAGCTTACTCTTCGGGAATGTGCCTTTTGTGGTTTGAGATGTCACAGAACCACCCGGTGCAGGTGTGGTTTGAGGCTTTGTGGTCCTTTTAGTTTCAGTGACAGTCTGACTGCTGGGCTTTGCTCTACCTCTAGTAGCAACACTTATTGTGCTGTTTCCTACAACAAAACAATCAAAACATTTTTTTTATGTTAAGAAAAAGAAGAAACTGTGAAGGTTGGACCATTTACAAGGGTTAAAATCTCTGAAAGAACTGCTTTACAGTATAGGCTTTATTGTAAAAGGAGTGGGATAATAGCTCTCACCAGAAGGCTTATCTGTTGAAGATTTAGTGCTGACGTTCATTTCAGTTCTTGAGTTGCTTGTCTTGATGGTAGTTCGATCATAATCGATGGTCGCGCTCATTGTGCTGGTGTGGGTGATGAAGGTGGTGGTGTTGGTGATGAAGGTGGTGGTGTTGGTGATGGAGGTGGTGGTGCTGGTGATGGAGGTGTTACGATCTGTCCCGTCCTTTTTTGCTATGGCGGTCCCCACAAACAAACCTACACAAAAAATAAATATAATGTTCTAATAGGTCAAAACAATATATCAAACCTGATCACCTTATCATTAAATTCAGTTTCAGCATACCTTTTTTGGCCTTTCTATGCATTTCCTTTTGTCTTTCCCCAGTTCCTTTTACCCAACACGCATTAGACCCACTGTTTCAGAGTGCCTTATCATTTAACACAGTATGAAACTCACAGGTAGTACAATACACACCTATAAAACGTCCACTTTCAGCTCATAATCTTAAAAAAATACGACATATATATAGCAAGAAAAATAACTTTAATACAATGCTTTAACAACTCGGGAAATTTCTTCCCAGATGTTACAAAAGCTTTCATTTCTACACATTTCTACAGCCATATGTGAAATCGTGCACAAAAGCACTACAGCAGGATATAAGACCTAGTTCCCCTTATATAAAACATGTGCAGCCTTATTGAACTGAATCTTCCTGTGTGTTAAGGCAGCGTGCCTGAGAACCTTTTTATGCACACAGTGGTTTAAGTGCAGCATACAACACTCTCACATTAAATCTGCAAAAACAATGTTCTGTCAGATTATGTGATTTTATTAAATTCACATTGTAAAAATTACAATCTGAACCCAGATGGAAGAATTTCTATTGAGGGACACACCCCATTCTCATTCACACACACACACACACACACACACACACATATATATGTATAATATAATATAAACAGTCTTACCCAGCATAAAGAAGAAACTTGATGGCATTGTAAGTCTGTTGGATGGCAGCAGCAGCTGGAAAAGCCAAACAGAGATAAATATAAAATATCCGTATTTATATGCCTCCTGTCTAAAGGTTGTGCTTTCATATGCAGCGGTTCTTTCTTAATGCTTCAGAGCATTGCATGCCTGTACAGAAAAAAGAGGATCAACCAAAACTCTGACCACATTACTTGAGATAGCGGCGTTGCTCAAACGCCGTAAACGAGAAGAAACGTTGTTGCTCTGTTGCTTCAGAGGCGACTCTCTTTGCAGACCTGCTGCCACAAAACTCTGTTTGTTCCCCATAAACCTAAAGCTGTGAACAACACAGCAGAGTGACACCTGTTGCCGACTGTGAGCGAACATCTCACTTCAGATTCACCTCTTTAGACCTGTGAACTTATGTTTCGGTGTATTTTCTCCAAGCAGTTAACACCTGTATGTGTTATTCTGGGGAAACTGTGTGTTTCTAAATATAAGCCTTTTCACCAATTGTTCATTATTGTCACTTCTGGCTTATGCTCACTAGATGTCACTGTGACTAAGGGGATAATGCAGGAAAAAGGTGCATCTTTTCTTGCTTATGGAAGCTTAATTATGTAGTAAAAGGGCATACAAAATGCATGGATCAAAAAAAAAAGTTAGGTTTTTCCTGCAGTTTGTCAAGGGGGTAAAGGCATGTTTATGGTAATAGCAGAGTCCAGTGGTCTGACAGTGATGTTTTTGATTATAGTGAGAGTGGAAGATTGGGTTATTTGCCGATTAAGAGAGATGAAAGATTGATTTCGCACTTTAACATTGTCCTATGTTCATGTCTTCGAGGTTTTCGGACTGTTGGTGACTTAAAACTTAACGTTTGAATCTCCACGAGCCTCGATCTCCACGAGCTCCAGGAAGCTGTATTTGTTGCCATTCGTCAAACAACCAGATGACAACCCATACCATCACCGAAAGCGATCTTTTCTTTCTCTAATGCCACCATGTTTTTGGTTGCTTCTGAATGTGTGCGCTATTGTGCAAGTGCGTGAGCCTGACTTGCCTTGTGTTGCGAAGGCGTATGTGTGCTCAGCCTTGTGGGTTCATTTATTACTGTTTATTTCCCCCCATGCCAGCGGTAATCAGCAGCAGGATTAGCGTTAACTGCCACCCAGTCACTGGCAGGCTCCACGTGGGCCGCTGCGCCCCCCTCCCCCTCCCGTCGACCGGGTCTCTTCTGGACCCACTAATCCTGCAGAAAAACCCATGTCTGGCTTCCTCTCTGGGCCACCTATCGCCACATCACAGAGCCCAGGCAACAGCATCAGGCCCGGCCTAGTGGATGAGCTAATCGCGGAGAGGAGAGGAGGAGAGGAGAGGGCATGTGTGTGTGAGAGACACGGAGAGGGGAGAGAGCTGGACCACCCACCCAGAGGATTCAGAGGCACAGGATTCACAGCCCATTCTGTTGACCTGCCACACCGCCCCAGCTCTGGGCAAGGCCCTCCCCAATTGTTCCGCCTGCTAACATGAGGACGGGGGTTAGAGGAGGGGGGGGGGTGGATGAGCAGTAAACAGTGGGCTGAGCTTCTCTCCTTCAGCGCACAAAGGGGCTGAATTGTGTCGGACTGGAGCACTTTTTAGAGTGGCCCTGCCATGGGGCCTGAATGAAACATCTGTGGAGGCTGAGCCCGAGGGAGAAAATGCTATTTTGCTGTTCAACCACACTGACAACCTGTTTTCTCTTTCTTG